CAGGTCATTTTGCTTTGCTTTGAGTTGTTTTCTTTGTTTATCCTCAGTGACTGTAATTTAAGGGAAAAAAATGAATATGTCTGTTTATTATATGATATTAGTTAGAAGGCTTAGTGAACATAACAGCAGATTAAACCAATTTATAACCCAGACAACTCTCAGTACCTTTCTGAAGCTTTTTCTCTCGTACACAAATCACAAATCTTAATAATTAACAATTCAATATGAAAGTATTCCACGTGGAGTTGGTTTTCTGCTTTGAGTTACATAAAATAGTTGATTGTGAGGTTGTTTCATATTTCCTAAGCAGCAAACCCATGTTTTTCTGAGGGACAGTGTTGCCTCTTGCATATCAATTAGTCTTTTGACTGATTCTTCTATGCGAGATTTCCCGGTCTTGGCTTTCAAAGGTCATCCAGAAGACTTGGAAATAGCTGATGGAAAGGAGTGGAGAAAGGCAAAATTAATTTCTTGCTCTGTTACCTCCTCTGCCTTTGGTGATTTACCAAGTTAATTCCATCTCCGCTTCATCTTTAGGCTGGAAGGAGAAGGGCGGGACAACCAGATGAGCCCAGACCAGGCTGATGGTTGGCACGTGGTGGTTTAAGAATGGAAAGGCATGTGGAGGGTTTGGCTTTGTGATGTGGAGCTTATTTTGCATATTTATGCATTAAAAAATATGGTCATTAAAGGTGACCCCTGAAAATCTGACTGGCATTTTTCACAGTTTATTAATAGAAATATAGAACAAATGAATATGGGAAAATAGTTCTTGCCTTCTGAGGTTTCCCCTTCCCTACAAAACACAGATGAATGTCCTATGACAAACCATCAGCATGTCCATAGAATCATGGAATCATGGAATGGTTTGGGTGGGAAGGGACCTTCGGATCATCTTGTTCCAACACCCTGCCATGGGGACACCTTCCACTGTCCAGGGTGGATCCAAGCCCTGTCCAGCCTGGCTTTGGACACTTCCAGGGATCCAGGGGCAGACACAGCCTCTCTGGGCAACCTGTGCCAGGGCCTCCCCACCCTCCCAGCCAACAATTCCTTCCCAATCTCCCATCTCTCCCTGCCCTCTGGCAGTGGGAAGCCATTCCCTGTGTCCTGTCCCTCCATCCCTTGTCCCAGGTCCCTTTCCAGCTCTCCTGGCACCTCTTTAGGCTCTGGAAGGGGCTCTCAGGTCTCTCTGGATCCTTCTCCAGGTGAACCCCCCCAGCTCTCCCAGCCTGGCTCCAGAGCAGAGGGGCTCCAACCCTGGGATCAACTCAGTGACTGTCCTTATGTTGAGACAGGGCCTTACCTTGCTTATAAAACCCTTCCTTTGGATATCACAACACTGTTCCAACATGGCTCTGCCTCTCCAACGTGTTTAAATGTACAATCAAACTACAAACATTCCCTTCACTTTCTGTAGGCTTATAAAAGGGATCTGAAGGTTTTCATGAGCAGGAACGAAGACCACAAGATTAAAGTTTCCAAGCTGTAATGAGAATGGCTCAGAACAGTTTCTTCTATTATTAAATCTCTGTCAAGAGAATGGATTCCCGTTGTGCCTTTGTCTGTTCTTTTTTTTTTTAAATTTTTTTCATATAAGGACAGGATATAGGAATTTTAATGACTGTGAAGAATATCAGTGTTCCCCATGCCCTTGATCTGTGCCTTGGTATGATTGGCCAATTGCTCCACCTCTCCCCTTTTTTTTTTTTTCCCAGTTCACCTGTGAGGAGGGAAGGAAAGGTCAGACAAAGTACAAAATACTGTGGAGATCAAAGTTAATGTCATGTACTGTGGGTATTATTGTTTTGTGTGGTTTTTTTGTAGCAAGTGGAAGAACCAGAATTTTGTAGAAAATACGTAATTTTTATTAACTAGACCAGTTAGAATAAGTTTTGTCTCTTTAATCATGAGAATGTTGTCTTGGAATCCTCCCAGAAGTGCAGACAAAACCTTGATGTAACCCCATAAACTATCATTTGTCCTTGATACCAATTGCCAGGTCATGAAATAAAATGAATGTACCAATTTCACTTCAAAAAAATCATTTGGAAAGGTGAGAACAGCTGCTGCTGCCACATTAAAACCTTGGCAACCAGAACTCCCAGAGATGCATTAAATTCCAGTTCCTGCAGCTCTACCTCCAAAATTGCCCACACTGACATTACTGACGTGTTCTTTTTTGACAGAAAAGCTTCTTATTGACCAAGAAAACTTCATTACACCTTAAAATCCAGGATACAGAAATGGAGCCTGGTTCAGAATTTAAAAAGAAAGGGCAGAATAAATATTTTTTGCCTGAAACCCAAAAAGCTCTTCATCCACGAGGGAAGGCAGCAGCTCTGCTTAGGGAGCTCTGCTGCATCTTTAATCAAGGTTGAGCTCCCTTTTCCATTTCAGAAGTTGATTTCTCAGGGTTAATATCTTGTCTGGTTCAGGCTCCAAGAAACCAAAGTGATATTTATTATTTAGATGCCTGATTGTGCCTCGTGGCAAATTTCAAATCCACTGCTGTCCTCTGTTCCTGTCATCTATTTATCTCAGCCTTGCCCATAATCACAGGCTCAGGTTGTAGCAGCCAGTATAAATACTAAATATATTATTTATTATTAACAACTTTATTTGAATTGTATCCCACTGAGATGTGTTGTTTCCATCTCTCTCTCATCTCCTGGTTTTATTAAAGATATATATAAGATGAAAATGTGATAGCCCCAGAGGTTGAAAGAGCCATTTACAGAAAAAGTCAGAGACAGTCTTCTGACCTGGAGCCTCCAGGAAGTTCCCAAAGGACTTTTATTTTCAAGA